CAGTCTTTAAACCTCTTTTATTGACCACCAGCAGTGATGGGGTGGAGAGTGGAAGGCAGCACTTCTTTGAGGGAGGAGCTCCAAAATTGGGGTGCCACTACCAAGAAGGCCCTGAATTGGAACACCAACCCTCAGCGCCAACATCTTGAATTGGGCTTGGTAGCTCACAGCCAGACAGTGCAGAGCTTTGAGTTTTCAGCAAAAATTGGCACACACACCATGCCTCTTGCCTTCCATTCTACATCATTGTTGCGGCACCACCTCTTGGCTTAGCACTCAATATGGGCAAACCGGTCATGCTCCTCTAAATCCGTCTCTGCTAGCTGCACTTTTCAGGCTGTCTTCAAGGGTTGCCCCCATGTAGAGTGCATTGCAGCAGTCCAGCCATGAGGTTATTAGAGCATGGCTTACTGAGGCCAGGTTGCACCACTCAGTGAATCAGCCACAGCTAAAAAGACCCTGTGCCCCCAGTGAGAAAATTGAGATCAGATTGAGAAGAACCCACAAGCTATGTACCTGTTCTTTCAGGTTGCGTGCGACTCCATCAAGGACAGGCCACCTCTATAAATCCTGGAGTCAAGAACCATCGACCCATAGCATTTCCATCATACTAAGATTCAGCTCCAGTTTATGGGGCTCCATGATCACTGCAGATGGTGACAGCAGCCATGAAATTAAAAGACGCCTGCTTCTTGGGAGAAAAGCAATGACAAACCTAGACAGCATCTTAAAAAGTAGAGACATCACCTTGCCAACAAAGGTCCGTATAGTAAAAGCTATAGTTTTCCCAGTAGTGATGTATGGAAGTGAGAGCTGGACCATAAAGAAAGCTGATCGCCGAAGAATTGATGCTTTTGAATTCTGGTGCTGGAGGAGACTCTTGAGAGTCCCATGGACTGCAAGAAGATCAGACCTCTCCATTCTTAAGGAAATCAGCCCTGAGTGCTTACTGGAAGGACAGATCCTGAAGCTGAGACTCCAAGACTTTGGCCACCTCATGAGAAGAGAAGACTCCCTGGAAATGACCCTGATGTTGGGAAAGATGGAGGGCACAAGGAGAAGGGGACGACAGAGGACGAGATGGTGGGACAGTGTTCTCGAAGCTACTAACATGAGTTTGACCAAACTGCGGGAGGCAGTGGAAGACAGGAGTGCCTGGCGTGCTCTGGTCCAGGGGGTCACGAAGAGGCGGACACAACTAAACGACTAAATAACAACAACAACATCCAGCTAAAGGGTCTTGAAATCAAGCTTTCCAGGAAGGGTTGAGGGAGTTGGACAAGTTTAGCTTGGAAATGAGGAGGCTGAGTGGAGATATGATAACTGTCTTCAAAGATCTTAAGGGTTGTTCCACGGAAGATGGAGCAAGCTTGTTTTCTCCAGCTCTGTAAGAGAGGATCTGAACCCATGGCTTCAAGCTACAATAAAGGAGATTCTGATTAAACACCAGGAAGAACTTTCTGACAGTGAGAGCTCTTTGACAGTGGAGCGGTCTCCCTCGGGAAGTTGCAGACTCTTTTTCCATGGAGGTTTTTAAGCAGAGTTTGGATGGACATCTGTCTTGGATGCTTTAGTTGAGATTCCTGCATTGCAGGGGGTTGGACTAGATGACCCTCATAGTACCTTCCCTCAAAGCAGTTTATGAAAACTAAAACAATAAAGTCAAGAGGCAAAAAGCAAGCATACTTAGAGGCACATGAAGATTGTTGATAGCACTTTGCCCCCAAATCCTGAGATGAAAGCTCCTAGTGCTATCATTTAGGTAAAGGTAAAGGGACCCCTGACCATTAGGTCCAGTCGTGGCCGACTCTGGGGTTGCGGAGCTCATATCATTTTATTGGCCGAGGGAGCCGGAGTACAGTTTCTGGGTCATGTGGCCAGCATGACTAAGCCGCTTCTGGCGAACCAGAGCAGCGCACGGAAATGCCGTTTACCTTCCCGCTGGAGCGGTACCTATTTATCTACTTGCACTTTGTGCTTTCGAACTGCTAGGTTGGCAGGAGCAGGGACCGAGCAACGGGAGCTCACCCCATCGTGGGGATTCAAACCGCCGACCTTCTGATCAGCAAGCCCTAGGCTCTGTGGTTTCATTTACTTGCTATCATTTACTTATTGATTAAATTTTGCATCTGTAGATCTTAGGGTGGTTCCCAAGATGCAAGAACGAAAACAGAAAATGCACAATAAAAATAAGAGCAAAAGAAGCAACAACCACAAACCAATACACACACACACAAGCACCCTGCTGCCACAAACATGTTTAAAAGGGTGTGATTCATTCATGACAACAGGGTGACTATTCCATTGGTTGGCTCACTCCCAAATTTGCAAAAAAACAAAACAAAAACAGCTTGTGAGTGTGAACTGCAGTATGTGTGTTGGGCAAGTGGGGCATTGAGTTTTGTGGCTAGAACTTTAAGACCAGAGAAGAATGGCAAACCAAGTTGATGGACTACGCTGAAATGGCAAAATTAACCGGGGAGCTCAGAAACCAAGAAGACAAAAACTTTAAGAAAGAATGGGGAAAGTTTATAATTTATTTACGAAACCTCTGTAAGCAGGTTAAAACTCTGGCAGGATTTTAACCACACTTTTAAAGTAACAGAAAGGATGGATAATTTAGGAGGAAATTTAAGGACTATTTGAATAAATATTGTAATATAAAAAATTAGAAACTACTTGAAAGAAACAAATAGGCCTAGGATTAAACTAAGTTATAATTAAATAAATGGGATTTAGAATATTAAGAAAAGTGAATAAGATGGAATATAATAGGAAATTGTTTTAGTTTAATAATGATATTGGAAAGCTGTTACTTTTAATTACAAGGAAACTCAGAAGGGAGGGACTAGAGGAAGTCAACCAAGATGTTTAAAAGGTTGGATTTGTAAAGAATTAACTTTGTTGTTATTGTTTATCTGTTTATTGTTCCTTTTTTCTTCTTTCGTTCATTGATGTATTTTTCTTTTTCTTTGTTTTTGTGTGTCATTCTGCTTTGTGGCTTTTGTTATAATTGTGGAAAATCTAATAAATTTTTTAAAAAGAAAAGAAAGTATGGATAATTTAGAAGTATAAAAATTTGGATAAGTAAGGCTGCACTTTGCCTCCCAGGATCCTTCAGTACATGCTCTGGTACACCCCCTCCCCCCAATATATTTTTTCCGAAGTCCAAGGCCTGACGCTGAGGTCCCTTGGCTTTGTCAGAATGCAGCTCTGCTTACCTTACCCTGAAATGTTCCAAGTTCCTTGAAAGCATCCGCACTGGAAGCAGGGCAGGGATAAGAACAACAAGGAAGGCGCACAAAGTGAGCTCGATTTGCAGAACAGCTGCCAAGCTGCGCAGACACACACTGGCATTCCTTGCATCCTCATTCCGGAACATTTCTGTGCAGCTCAGTGTGCAAAAAAAAAGGGGGGGTCCCAATTCTTCAAAAAGCTGCAGAGAGAAACTGGAATGCAGCCCATTTTGTGCTTTTGTGTTTGTGTGTGAAAGAGACAAAGAGAGAGGGAGGGGGAGGCCCAATATCATTCGGATGTGAGGTGTGGGGGACGATGCTCTGCTATTTTCGGCAGAATCAAACAAAGGTTCAGTTTATTGGGGATCCCCAATAAAGCAGCCAAGCCTGTTTCCCCCCTGGCTGACCTGCTGTGATCCTCATGCCATGTCTGGCTGCAGCAGCTGTGGATGAGACCAGGAAGCTGCTGCACGCACATGCACACATTGAGAGATTCACCCCGCTGTGACCTTGCAAGCATTCACCCCATTTGCCCTTCCCTGTTCCCACCATCTGGCCATCGGGAGAAGCGCTAATTGACTCCAAAGGATGGGACAGAGGCAGACAGAAGGAGGTAGCAGCTGAGGGACCAGGAATGCCTTGCAACCTGAAGGCCTGATCCGAGCAAGGTTGGAGCTGAAGGGAGCTCAACCCGCAGAAGGTGCTGGGTTCAATTCCTAATGGCAGCTCCAGGTAAGGGCGAGGAATGTCCCTTTTCTGAAATCTCGGAGTTCAGCTGCCATCCAGAGTAGACAATGCTGAGCTGAACGGAGCAATGGTCAGACTCGTTTTTAATTTCTGCTGATTCAGATACTACCTACTAGGGTCTCATCCTGCATACCAGATGGAGCTGGTAGACAGCTGCCCTTGACACAGAACTGACCTGCACCTCCATGGACAGCTGTGAGTCCAAAATGACTCCCAGGCTGCGCACCTGGTCCTTCAGGGGCACAGTTGCCCCATTCAGGACCAGGGTGTCCTCCACACCTGCCTTCCCCCTGTCCCCCCAAAACAGTACTTCTGTCTTGTCAAGATTCAACCTGACCAGATGGCCCTTGATCCCTTCCAACCCTACAATTCTACCTTTCTATGATTCGCCCCTTGCCTCCGTAAAGGGGAGAAAACTATGCATGTTCATCTCAGCCACAGTTAAGCAACCAGTGCATGGTCCTCAAACAGCTGACACAAGATTTGCACCTGGCCTGCAGACCCATCTTCTGTTTATTTCACTGCTGGGTGCCTTGGACCAAGGAGAAGGCAGCGGGGAATGACGATCCGCCCTAGTGAGCCCGATCCACCTGCAGGGCCCAGCTGCATCTCCTGGCGGGCAACTGGGACCCGGGCAAGGTGAAATCGAGCACAGGCTTGTGGCTGGCTGGTGGCGATGTTGCAGGGATGTTTTCGCACTAATACCAAGAGCAAAACAAGAATGATATCTGCTGTTGTGAGTCAAACTGAGAATCTGTTTGTGCGACAAGCACGGCTTGAGGCAGGAAGAGAAACTGTGGGGCTTAGTCAAGACAAGCGCTGGTTGCAGACGCTTGCAAGGGGCCGGGGAGTTTGGCCTCGGCTCTACCCTGCGATGGTCTCTTTATTTCTTTGTTCAAATGTGCTTATTTGTTTATATATCTCTTCCCATCACCCACCCAAGCGCTTGGTGCAGAGCGATATTTTCAGAAAACAGCTTTGCATATTGAATATCACAGATACACATAACTCATTCGCAGGGCCTGTTAACAGTGGCGGGAGAATTGCACAACAGCTAGGAAGTTGATAGTGGCTCTAGGCATCGTGATGATGTGATGTGGTCGAAGTCTGTGGAAACCCAGGTTCAGTTCTCCAGGAACTTTATTTGGGAAAACACAAGAAAGAGAGAGAGAGAGAGAGAGAGAGAGAGAGAGAGAGAGTTTTACATAACAAATTTGCAGTCAAACATTAAACATCAACATCATCATTTAGGATTCCCTGATTCCATCAACTCCCCTCCACCCTTCCACGGTTACCATTATCAATCTTTTTTTCAACTGCCTTCCTTACTTTCTCTAATTTTAAGGAAATAATCCATTTTTACCATAGTTCTTTGTATATCACAGTGGTTACATACGCTTCAGGTTACATATGCTTCAGGTTATAGACTCTGCTAACCCAGAAATAGTGTTTCAGGTTAAGAACTTTGCTTCAGGATGAGAACAGAAATCGGGCTCCGGCAGCGCGGCAGCAGCAGGAGGCCCCATTAGCTAAAGTGGTGCTTCAGGTTAAGAACAGTTTCAGGTTAATAACGGACCTCCGGAACAAATTAAGTACTTAAATTGAGGTACCACTGTACAAGCATTACTCAAATCCTTCCAAAGTTTTTAGTTGTTTGCAGTGTTCTCCTAAGTACCGTATTTTTCCGTGTATAAGACTAGGGTTTTTTAACCCAAAAATTAGGTTTAAAATTGGGGCTCGTCTTATACATGGGTAGTGCTGAGGAGTGTTTTCTTAATTTGGAGTCCCCCAAAATACACTGTGGGGTCTTATAGATGGAAAAATACAGTATGTTGTAAGCTTTCCCCATTTCTTCTTAAAGTTCTTCTCTTCTGGGTTTCTGATTTTCCAGGTCAATTTCACCATTTCGGTGCAGTCCATCATCCATTCCTCTCTGGTTGGAACTTTATCGTCTTTCCATCTCTGGGCCAGTAGTAGTCACACTGCTGTCGTTGTATTTGGGAAAACTCTTGTACCTATCACCATTTTGCAGCCTAGCCATCCTTGCAGGCTTGTGCAGAGAGAGCTGTGGAGGGAAACCATGTTTGCCACCCTGAGCAACTTGGAAAAGGGATGGGATAAAAACAATAGGTAGCTTTATGTACAGAAATAAAGAGTTGTTTTTTTTCCTTTTCCTTTTACTGTGTACACTCCTAGAACAACAAACACTTATTGCGGTGTAACCAGTTGCTGGAAACCACAGCAGGCCAGAGTCGTTCTTGTACTGGTCTGCCCCGCGGAGGACCTTAAGGTCCACAAATAACAACACTTTGGAGGTCCTGAGCCTCAAGGAGGTTAGATTGGTTTCAACCAGGGCCAGGGCCTTTTCAGCACTGGCCCCGACGTGGTGGAACGCTCTGTCACAAGAGACCAGGGCCCTGCGGGACTTGACATCTTTCCACAGAGCCTGCAAGACGGAGCTGTTCCGCCTGGCCTTTGGTTTGGACTCAGCCTGACCTTTATGTTTCCCTCTCCTTATGGTCTTGATTTATCAGCTGCTTTAAAATGAGACTGCATTTTAAATTGCATTTTAAATTGGTCCCCCCCTCTCTTTCCCCCTTATGATGTTTTTACTGTGATTTTATTGGTGTTAGCCTCCCTGAGTCCAGCTCTGGCCGGGGAGGGCGAAGTACAAATAATAATAATGATAATTATTATTATTATTACTTGAAACTTGCTCCCGCCCCCCCTACTTGAACCTTGCTTGTGAGTTCCCCATGGATATCTGGTTGGCCACTGTGAATAAAGGATGCTGGACTAGGTAGGCCATTGGTCTGATCCAACACTATTTTCTCATCAAAGTTGCAGGTAGCGGTGCTTCCAAAAACCAGTTTGCTGATGTTCTGGACATGACAAACAGTTGGCATCATGTTTTCAAGATCTGGCTCCCTGGGAATACGGAGGTGGAAGCACAGCCATCCTAGCGAGTAGCCATCAATAGCCTCTCCTCCTCCATGAATTTGTCCAATCTTCTTTTAAAGGCTTGGTGGCCATCACTGCCTCCTGTGGCAGGGAGTTCCATAGTTTAACTCTGCGCTGCGTGAAGAAGTCTTTCCTTTAATCTGTCCTGGATCTTCCAGACTTCAGATTCATTGGATGTCCGCAAGTTCTAGTGTTAGGAGAGAAACTGCTGCCAGTTAAGGATAAATAATATTAAGCTAATACTAATACTAAGACCAACAATCTGATTCAGTGTAGGGCAGCTTACAATATGCTTGGGTGTTCTAGAAAACTTTTTGATCTCACTTATGAGTATTGTTTAGATTTTCCCCATCCAAAAACTGCCGAAGTGTATCTGTACAGGAAACAGATGAACAGCGCTCCCAGGGGATCAAAGGACAGAGAGAAGCGAAAGAAGGAAAGAAAGAAAGAAAGAAAGAAAGAAAGAAAGAAAGAAAGAAAGAAAGAAAATGAATATATACCGGTAATAAATCTCCAGAAAGGGGAAACAATTATTTGCAGGACTGTTACATTTTTATTCCTGCCCTTTGCACAATGCACAATAGGAGAACTCATTGCCACATCATCATCATCATCATCATCATCATCAACAACCTTTATTACGGTCCAGAGACCCAACAAATCGTTACAAAGCAATACACAATTCATACAGCCTACCTCCAGGTTAAACAAGCATTTTGTTCAGAATATAGGGACCATTGGTTCTTGCAACCACCGATAAAAACTTTGCCACTGCTAATGTTCTAGCGTTTGTCCGGTCTTCCAATAGGAACCTGACATAGTGAGCCTCTGATTTTCCCGGGAAGGGTACCAGCAAGGGTAGCATCAGTTCAGCCCTGGCTTGCTCATATTTTGCACAGTGCAACAAAATATGTTTTATGGAATCAATGTCTTGAGCACACGAGCAAAGTCTGTCCTGGTAGGGAACTCCTCTCAACCTGCCATCCAACACTGCAGAAGGAAAGACGTTGAGTCTGGCTTTGGTGAAAAGCCTTCGATAGTTTGGTACTGTCGGGTTTTTAATGTAAGATGTTAACTTAAAGACATGCCCATATTGTACTCCTACTGCCAGCGGACTACAGACTGCGTGTGATCGAGATTGCAAGTCACTGTCTGCATTGCCACAAGAAGATGTGAAGACCACTAGAATGGTATTTGAAAGACAAGCAAGAGCTGGGACAAAATGTTGCAGCGCGGAGTGATGCTGTTCAGGCAGCCTGCCGTCTTACAAGATGCTAAATTCCAGTCTCTCTCCCAGGGCAAATCTCAAAGCTGTCCAGCAACCATCAATGCAGTTTCCCCTGTCCTAAGGCATTTCACAATTAGAAGCAAATCCAGAAATAAGAATGGGGAAGGGGAATAAATAAACAAAACTAATAAATGCTTTTTTTTTTTTTGCAGCCACTGGGCTGAGTTATGCTTCTGGTTCTATGGGAAACCTTTCTAGCCAGCCCTGATGGGGCAAATTCTGGAGTTTCCCTTCTCTGATTTCTTGGACGCCGTGATCAAGCCTGGAATGATCCTCAGGAACGTTGAGGAGCCACTGGAGAAGGTAAATGACCCTAGGGAAGGGGAGACGTTCTCTGGGCTGGATTCCATAGGAGGTTCCAGCCGCCTCATTAGTCATCGCCGGAAGGCAGAGCCCCTGGCCTGGCTTCCTGATTGGCCAGACTGACTGATGTGACCCTGTGCTTTTGAGAACACCGAGTTAGCTTTCGTTCGGGATGACCTCGTTGCAATGGCATCATTCTCCGACACCCAGAATAGATGCGAGTTAAGGCCAGAGGTGAGGTTCTGAACTTGTTGGCCTTAATATGAGACCAAACTGATTTGATGCCAGAGGGGGATTTTTCATTTTCATTAATTTTCAATATAGGAACAAACCTGCAATCAGTTACAGCTCCCCACCCGTAACAACCCCAGATATGTCCAGCTGTAATAGCAATAATAAAATAAAACATTAACTCAAGAACTAGTAATATAGAAAGCGTCGTTCCCGTGCGTCTCCGTTTGGTTTCAAAGCATGTTCTTCTTTTGTTACAAATGAAATAAAAGCAGACCACATTTTGTAAAAGTTTTGTAGATTCGTATGTTGTCTTCTTTCTCATAAAATCATAGAAATGTAGAATTGGAAGGGATCCTAAGGGTCATCTAGTCCAACCCCCAGCAGTGCACTTTTTTTGTAGAACCTAGTCCTGTCTTTAGCATATACGCCACCGGGGTGCAAAGATTCGCCCAGCGCCCCCAAATTTAGTTTAGCCCCCAAATTAACTTTTATTATGCTTGTGTCAGTCACCACGCTTACGCTTTATCTCTTCTTGTGAATGACAAGCGCCGTCGTTGAATCTGACAAGCGCCGCTGTTGTGAATGACAAGTGCGGTGCATCTTTGGTAAATTGGGTCCTCCCTTAAAGAGGGCACGTGTTGCGGTGAGACCTGACAACCAAACCCTGTGTTGTGGGTGGGTACGATTGTTTAACCGCAACACCCTATTGGTAGGTCCCTCGATGCTGGGCTTAATCAGGCCAATGGGATGCAAGCTACACGGATCAAGGGACCTATATATACCTATGCACGTGACCCAGAGCTTCCTCTTTCAGCATGTGCATTCGGAACCCCCGCCCACCTCTCCCTACTTTTAGGGCTTTGCGCTTGACCTTGCTATGCCGTCGTGTGTCGTCTGTCGTTGGGACAGGGGCATGGCAGGAATTTTCCCCACTTGGCTGATTGGCTGTTGCCATTTGGGTTTCGCCTGCCGCGTCACAATTTGTAAGGTTGCGGAAAGGCTCTGGTTCAGGAGATAGGGATGGGAGAACGCTCTCGCCATCCCTATGTGAAGGGTATTCCGTTAAAGAATCCAGGGACTCGATGGTTTGGTCAACCCCTGAGAGGGAGTTGTGCCTGTGCCTGAGTCCAGGGGGACATCTGGGTGGTGGACATAGCCAGGTCCGTCTATCCAGGTGTTCACCCTTGCCTGACCTATGCTGGAACCCTGGCTCAGCGCTACCTGCAACGGTGCAGGGAGCTAGTCGAACCAGAGCCTATGCAACCAATCATTTTCTGTAATCAATAAAGTTGTGGCCTAAATTTTGCCAAAAACCAAAACCAAAATTTAAGTCAAGTGTAAATTTATTTAGGCAGGAGGTTTCTGGGTCTGAGCACGCAAATGAGTGCACAAAGTCGAAAGTCCTTTAGTGAAACAGTAGGTATACATTGCAGTAATGCCTAGGTATATATGTATTTTGTTTTTCTAGCTTGATCAAAATTATTTATTATTTCATAACAGGTAGACAGCTAAGAGCTTAGGCGGCTTCAGTGGCGGGTGCCTGGAGCCCCCCAGAATTCGGCGCCCGGATGCCCCGCACCCCTTGCACCTCCGGGTAAAGACGGCCCTGGTAGAATCGAGACACCACTCAAACTTTTGAAATTTTGGGAAGTGGGGATTCCAACACCCTCTTCAATGCAAGGTGGTAGCTTGCTTTAAAAGTTGACTTGGGGAAAAACAAGCTCATTGAGCCATTCTGTCCATGCTCATTTGCCAGGAATTCAGCCCTGCCTGGCCCACAAACCTGGGGTGTCCTAGAGGAGGAGCAGGGGAGGCAAGACTCCCCAAAACACACACACACACACACACACACAGACACACACACACTGCCGGGCCCTGAATAGCCACTAGATCCAAGCCCCAGGGCTGGAGGCCTCCACCCCAGATATCTGGCGGTCCACTGTGAGAAGCCCACTCACCTTTTCCCGGTGGGCGGCGTTGTGACCAGGCTTAGGGGGCAGAGGGTTGCCTCCTCCTCTCTGTGTCATGCCAGCCATGTTGTTGTTGTCCCTTGCGGGACAGCCTTAACCAATCGGGTATCAGTGTGGGCGTGGCCACGGGCGATTTAACTGCGGTGAGGCTGGACAGCACCCTCTCTCTCGCCCCATCACCTGATCATCCAACCCACCACCATCTTTTCATGCTTTGCTCAGATATGACCTTGCCATGGACAATTTGTCGGCCGCCATGTTGTTGGCAATTTTCCCACTTGGTAAATTGGCACTGGCCATGTGGTTTTCGCCTACCTAGTAGCAACCGTCACAACTTTTGTGAGGTTAGGCATTGGGTAAGCCTTTGTTTGGTTGGAGGGGAGGTTGTAGCCTTTGCCTGCCCCTCCTCAGTAAGGGTACCCTGTTAAAGGGATCCAGCGTGCGAATCCTGTCCGAAGCCTGGGCATGGGGACCCTTCGAGGTGGTGCCACTATCTGATGCGAGTCATAGGGCACCCCCTATCGGTGGTTTTCCCTTCTGTGGATTCCCTGCAGATGGGCAGGAGTCAAGATATAGCCTGGCTTCACCCCAATGCCTAAGCCAAACTGCTCACATCTGTAATCAACCAAGTTGTGGCCTATTTGAACCCATAAACCAAAATACTTTGTATCCGTGTTCTTTATTGTTCTCCTGGGAACTTTGTGGTCCAGTAGACGTGAAGGAGCGTCTCCACCCCCATCGTTCTGCCCGGACACTGAGGTCCAGCTCCGAGGGCCATCTGGCAGTTCCCTCCCTGTGAGAAGCCAAGTTACAGGGAACCAGGCAAAGGGCCTTCTCGGTGGTGGCGCCCGCCCTGTGGAATGCCCTCCCACCAGATGTCAAAGAGAAGAACAACTACCAGACTTTTAGAAGACATCTGAAGGCAGCCCTGTTTAGGGAAGCTTTTAATGTTTAACAGACCACTGTATTTTAATACTTTGTTGGAAGCCGCCCAGAGTGGCTGGGGAAACCAAGGCAGATGGGCGGGGTATAAGTATTATGATGATGATGATGATGATGGCTCGGGTGTCTTGGCAACAGGACACTGGACTTAATGGGCGATTGGGCTGATCCAGCTAGACTTTTGTTCTTGTGGAAGGCTTCAGTAGACAAGAGTTAGAATCCTATAACTGTAGAGCAGAAGGGATTGCCAAGGGTCATCTAGTCCACCTCCTGCAAGAATCCTTGGCAGATGACCATCCAACCTCTGCTTAAAAACTTCCAAGGGATGAGAGTCCACTCCCAAGGGACTCGATTCCACTGTTGAACAGCTCTTACCATCAAAAAGCTATTCCTATTGTCCAAGTATCTAGATCAGCCTTTCTCCACCTGTGGGTCCCCAGATGTTGTTGAACTACAACTCCCATCACCCCTAGCTAGCAAGGCCAGAGCTCAGGGATGATGGGAGTTGTAGTCCAACAACATCTGGGGACCCACAGGTGGAGAACCGCTGATCTAGATAGATGGACCATTCATCTCCCCCAAAATTGCAAAACCACAGTGAAACATCACACATGACAACTTCCCTATGCAGGGCTGCCTTGAGATGTCTTCTGAAAATCAGATAGTTGTCTATTTCCTTGACATCGGATGGGAGGGCATTCCACAGATAATAACAATGTATTCTTCTATGTTTCCATTATTATTTTGGGAGGAGGGTTAATAGAGAAAGTCGGTTTAGATCAGCATCAGCAAAAACCTGACGCACGGGACACATTTCTGCATTAACTGTACCAATCTGATTGCAACGAATTTAAACGAGAGGCCGTGATCACAGCCGTGCAACTCAAGCCATAGTCAAAGCCAGCATACCTGTACTTTCTCATCTGTCTAATAAACCACCACAGTTGTGGTGGAATGGAAATCACACACAGTCAAGAAACAGCGCTCTTATCTGCTGTTCAAGATTATTTCCATAAACACTCATCCCTTTTCAGGAGCACAGAAAACTGCAGGGCCTTCTCTTGGCTCCCCCCCCCCCCACAAAAAAACCCGCAGACTTAAATGGGAATCCCCACATATAATTGATATGTAAATACTGCAAGTGAATTGTGAGAAATTTCAGAAGCCTACGCCTTTCCTAGGCACTTTTGAAGATAAATCAGATAAAACCAGTATGTACCAAATGTTCTCCCATTTTGATTTTCAGACGAAAAGTCGCCTTTTGTGGTAACATTTGCTTTTCTTTTGCTCCTGTTTTCTTCTATTGTTTTCTTGATCCGCCGCAGCTGGTTTTTTGGCATCGGTTCCCCTCCCCTTTGTAATTCCTGTTCCTTCTACCTGGCTGTAGACAATCAGGGAACACATTCACAGGAATGTGTGTTATTGGGTTCCTGTTGTTTTTATTGTGATTATGGATTTTGTGGTTTTATATTTTGATTTTACTCTGTAAACTGCCCTGAGGCCTGCAGGTATACGGTGGAATATAAACTCAACAACAACAACAACAGAAGGGGGGGGGGGGTTAGGTCTGGGTTATCAGAAAGACCACATTCCCTCATACAAAAGTTTCTAGGCTCAGAGATATTCAGGGAAGCCCTTTCTCTCTGTTCCATCTCCCTCACAGCCCTGCTTGGTAGTGGCACGGGACAGAGCCTTCTCGGTGGCTGCTCCCAGACACTTTCTGCCGAGAGAAATTAACCTGCCTCCCTCCTTGATGTCGTTTTGCCAGCAATTGAAGACATCCTTGTTCCAACAGGCCTTTGGGAACTGACTGCTTTTAAGGAAAGAGCTGGTGCTGCCATATTTTCATTGTAATTACCTTTTTATTACAATAGAGCTTATAGATCTCTAAGGAAATCAGCCCTGAGTGCTCACTGGAAGGACAGATCCTGAAGCTGAGGCTCCAAGACTTTGGCCAGCTCATGAGAAGAGAAGACTCCCTGGAAAAGACCCTGATGTTGGGAAAGATAGAGGGCAAAAGGAGAAGGGGACGACAGAGGACGAGATGATGGGACAGTGTTCTTGAAGGTACCGGCATGAGTTTGACCAAACTGTGGGAGGCAGTGGAAGACAGGAGTGCCTGGCGTGCTCTGGTCTAAGGGGTCACAAAGAGGCAGACACAACAAAACGACTAAACAACATCAACAACAGATCTCATTTTATGTGTGCGTAAATTAATGCTAAACTGTTTTTAATGATTGCTCCCTGCCCCCAACCTTTTCCAGCTGTTTCTGTTTTAGCTGTAATCCACCTTGGGTTAACTAATAATAATAAGAATAATTAGATAATAAGAATAATTGTGAGACTCAGAAGCCAGTCGTGGCCAAACACAGAGGGCAAAGGATGCCAATGGAGAGGAAGGCGAAAACTTCCGTGTAGTAGTCACATGGGTGATTCCAGCCAATCTGGGAGCGGGAAACCACATAATGAGCATGAGGATATCACAGTGTCCATCAGATCTGGCGATGGGGTGACATCACAGAAGACAAACAAAATGGCGGGTTTCCCACTGGGGCATCTGGTCGGCCACTGTGAGAAGAGGATGTTGGACTAGATGGGCCATTGGCCTGATCCAGCAGGCTCTTCCAATGTTCTTACTGTGTTTCCACCTGAAATGGTACATACCCTAGAAGCCTTTTATGGCTACCCAACAATCCTCTGAATTACCTTTTGAATGCAACATTTGTTGTTGTTTAGTCGTTTAGTCGTGTCCGACTCTTCGAGACCCCATGGACCAGAGCACGCCAGGCACTCCTGTCTTCTCCAAGTCTTGTGCATCTTCTCCTTGCTTTGAGTCTCCCTTGCATTCAGTAGATGCTGACAAGTTTGCCGGCCCACGCGCTAAACCCTGTCTGTGGTGCCCACCCCTTTACCCCAAATGATGAGACAAGAGACCAGAGTATGGGTTCGGATTGGCCACAACTTTATTGAGCTTCAGAAGTGGGAAAGTTGGCAGGTAACCCTCTCAGCCCCTCTGGCTGAGGATATGCAGGCAGATGAGGCCCAGTGAGAGGGGACTGCAAAGCGCAAACTTACGCAGCATGCCCTTCCACCGACCTCGTCCCAGGAGTTTGACCTACATGCCGCCGCTCTAGGGCCAGGGACTCCCGGGTTTTGCCCTTTAATGGGCCCTGCACGTGCCACCGCATGGGGAGGGAGCATGAATGCACCCCCCCGACTTGTTAGACTAAAGGATACCTTGCCAAGGCCTAAAACCGCCAGCCGAGGCTCTAAGGGCATCACCACCAAGTCCCACAACTGAGGACCAATCAAGCCCTGTAGTCTACCCAGTCCCTAAGGACTTGTCGCAAGTCGTGCAGCCAGAGGTCATTACCCAGTGGGGTCAGGTGCACTCCATCCTCCCAGAATAGGTCAACCTTATCTGCCCTGATGGTGGGATGTGGGATAGAGAACCCACCAATTTGCCACATGGTATCGCACATGGCCCTGTTGATTTTTTTCCACAGCATAATTGATGCGAGGGGTATTGGAAACCCCCCTCCAGCTCATGTCCAAAACCAAATAATAATAATAATACATATTGTCAGGGTTGGATTAGATTACCCTTGGGGTATCTTCAAACTCTACGATTCTGTGACAGGTTTCGGTTTCCAGTTTCATTTTCCCATGCTGGGTGGGCCTCCTGGGATCACCCTGAATTCTGAGCATGTTCTCCAATCCTTGTGCATCTTCTCCTTGCTTTGAGTCCTCCTTGCATTCAGTAGACGCTGACAAGCTTATTGGGTTGTGGGAGCAAATGAAAGAGGCTGAACACAGAGCTCTAAATGAGGGACAAGGAGCAAAGGGGTATGCAAGGAAGCTGGAGAAACGAGGTGGTAGACTGTGAAGCAGACTCAGTGAGCCAGGGCAGGAGGGAGTGGGGTTGGGTGTGGGGAGGAGTGTCGGTGGATGATTCACAGATCATGGCCCAGAGCAGGGTCCCGTGAACGCTGAGCCAAAAAGGCGGAGAAGGATTCAGGAAGACAGTAATTGGAGCCAATGGTGAAATCTAAGCACATCACACAGATTAGTTTCAGTTGCATAATGAATTCCAGTTGAAGAATTTGATCTTCATGGGACTTGGACGCTCTTTTTGCAGAAGAGGGTGTCTGACATTGGAGTGCCTTTCAGGATAAGGCCCATAACTCACCGGGAGAGCAGGAAGGTTGCATGCAGAACACCTCAGGTTCAATCTTGGTCATATCTCCAATTGTTCTTTTTCAAGTGACCGGGTAGCTGTTGATGGCAAAGCTGAACGACAACGCTTCAAGGAGCACCTTTGAGCTGTGAACCGGCTGCTTTGAGGGGACTAGTTAAACTACGGAACTCA